CTTAGGCCATCAATGTGTACTTACATTTACGAGTCATTAAATCATGTTTAATTTGGACTTCTCTGTGCATGCTCTTTGAGGTGGACCCCTTAAAAAAAACTGCATTAGGACTGACAGACAACAATGGTTTGACCAAAAATGTCAACATGGAAAATGCTGTGGAAACAAAAACACCTACATCTTGGATGCCCTTTGAGTGAGATAAAACATATCAAAAATTAATTTTAAAGTGAACTATCCCTTTAAGCTGAGATGCATGCAGCTGATATAGATCTTGTAAACCCTGCTGACACATTTGCAGCTCATGTCTTGGACTCAAAAGGTCCACTCCAGGTCAGAGGTCATGCAGGACATGTGATACCAGAGATAGGGTAAGCAAAAGAGAAAAAAACTGTTATTATATTACAATATTTTGTCTGCTTTTATTGTAGATTGAAGGTTTGAATGTTTTGGTCTGTCCTCACCACAGAAGCTGTACTTACTTGCCTACAGAAAAGCTGCATCCCACATGAACTGACTTGCTTAAAAGTGCTTAAAAAAAACTAATCCTGAGGCAGAGTACATGCATTACATAAAATTCTGAGTCCATTTGCACAAAAAATTGATTATTCTGTGCCATCTGGCATACTAATAAAAAATTCAAAGAGAACGTACTACAAACTCATTTACAACATTTTTTACCCTGCTTATAAATTATAAATCAGTTTAAAAACTTCTTTAATCCGTGCAAAAGGTTTGCCTGAGGTGCAGTGTGTGGAAATCTAAGGAGACGAGGTTTTATGACTGCCTTGGAAAGAGGAAGTGCAGTCCTGCTTAATAAAATAGATCTGTCTTGACTTGATCTTGCTGACAGCATTTCAAACATAAGGCATGTGCAAGTATGTATAAACCTTCACCTAAAAAAAACTGTGTGTGTCATCAACTATAGCACTATATACAGTTCCCAAAGCCAAGCCTCAAATTCTGCAGAAGCAAATGCGCTTGCATGATTTTTAAAGCTTTATACTTTGTGTGTAAGGAGACACATACTTGAGCACTCTATTAAATCTCCACAACTATGAAAGCTACAGTTAAGCAGTAAAATTGTATTCTGGGTTAGTTCATTTGACCACAGACCCGAGACACAACACCTGTTTTCTGTAGACAGGCTAATTTCACCTCTACTAGACTTGGACTTCATATGTTTTAAAAACGTTGTTCTTCCAGGCTCATAATGTAAAGCAAATAAGCAAAGCATCATTATTCCAGTCTTCAGTGTCACATGATCCTAATATGATGATTTGACGCTCAAGAAACATTTCTAATTATTATTATCAATGTTGAAAACATTTAAGCAGCTTAATATTTTTTTTTTTCCAGAAATCTTTGAATAGAATATTTTAAATAGAAAAATAAAACGTTTTAAATGTCTAATTTCACTTTTGATCAATCTGATGCATCCCTGCTGAATAAAAGTATTAATTTCTTAAAAAAAAACCCCATCTTGTTGACTTCAAACTTTAACAGTATGCAAAACAAAGTAATCTAACCCAGTTATAACAAAAAATGTAGCAGCAGTTGATATAAATGTATAATTTAAGCGCTAAGTCTTCAGAAATGTTGTCAGGACAGATCTCGCTGTCCAAAAGCGATAGGGGTCATGTTCCCAATACAGTCCTGTAAATAGTAAGGCTAGCATGTGTTTTCAACCATAGTAATTTCAAAACCAATCAATTTGTCATGCTGTGGCGACACCGACCACATTGCAAGGCATTCAGATACATCTACTCCACCCAATCTGCGGCCATAACTTCACTTTTAGAAGTTAGAATTTCCCTCACACTGTACATGTGCTGTAAACTGTGATGTCTTTGCATGGTTACTGTCGTATTGTTGTATAAAGACACCATATACAACACATACATATACAACCATCTCAGGAAAAGATCAGTGCATGCTAAGGCTTCTTAACTAATACACATGGGTCAGTCTAACCACACATGCAGAGGGAATGATGACAGTGCTTACCACTCCGTGGGAGGGTTAAAAAAAAGCAAGTAATGTGGAAACCCTTTAGTGTCTGGGAAAAAGGCAAATCCTATTTGAAGACTTCTAAGCTTCTAGAAGCTTCTCCTCAGATCCAGGCGTTTTTTTGCCATGAACCCTCATAATCCCATCACTTGATTGTATCTGTGTTGCGGAGCCACACGTCTCAAACGTTTGACTTGTCCATTTAAATTTTTTTTGTTTTTTACATACATATTTTTATTCAGCAAGGATACCTTCAATTGTGTTGTAAAGTGACAATTAAAAATATAATGTTACAAAACATTTCTGTTTCAAATAAATGCTGTTCTTTTCAACTGCTATTAATCAAAAAATCCTGAAAAAAATGTAACACGGTTTCCACCCAAAAAAAAAAGAAGAAGCTCCACAACTGTTTTCAACATTGATAATAATCAGAAATTCTTGAGCAGCAAATCTACATATTAGAATGATTTCTGAAGGATCATGTGACACTGAAGACTGATGTAATGATGATGAAAATTAAGGGATAAATTACATATAAAATATATATTCAAATAAAATACATCTCTTTTTGAAGCGACAGAGTTTCGGTTGAAGAGACTTTCATTGGAGGGACAGAAATTCTCTCAGATTTCATTCAAAATACACTCTAAAAATTGCTGGGTCAAATATGGACAAACCCAGCCATTGGGTTAAATTTTTTAATTACATTTTTAACCAAATGTTTGGGTTTGTCCATATTTGACCCAAAGTTGGGTTAAAACAACGAAGCATTTTTAGGGTGTATCTTAGTGTTTTGAAATTGAGTTAAACTCTTACGGCTTTAGAATGACATGAGGCTAAGAAATTTATAGAATTAAATTTTTTCCGGTGAAATCAATCTCAGCTGATCCATGTCTACCTTTAGGAATACGACGCCCATCACAGTATTTCTCAGGAGCCAATCCCTCTTCCATCCCCAGCTCCTCCTGTCAGTCAGGATTTGGTATTCTGATTCCCCTTAAATTCTCGAATTATGTTGTACTTATATTGAATGAATGATATCAGCAGAACAGAACCATAACGCCAATCCAAACTGTATGCTAACTGTCAATCGTCCCGACTGAACTATCACCTTAAGGGATTGATCTATGTAAAATAGCTTTTCTAGCAGTTTTATTCGAGCCGTTTCAATGAAATCATTTTTATTTTTGAAACGCAGTATACATATTTCACAGAGCACGGTTCTGTTGCTACAGTCCATGGAGGATGAAACTATGAAGACCTGGGCCAAACATGTGAGGTCATCACTCTCAGAATGGAGAACTGCCAACATTCTCATCTGTTCTTCATAAACTGTATCACAGGCTACATTGTAAACTGGGGTTTTTCTCCCTTCAACACGTGTCTCTGCAGTGCCCATGCCAGAGAGAAACATTTGAGGGAACACACAACTGTTAAGCAACATGTCTTGAGGATTGCATGATGAATGCGCTTACTATGCAATCTTAAAACAGAGACTTTAAATCACAACTTTAAAAAACGCAACTCCTACAAATGCAAAATGTTGAAGGGAGGACATACATATTATCTCGTATTTAGTGATGAACAACTTCCGAAAAGAAAAATGAGGGACAATTAGGGTCTTTACTACTATATTTTGGCGATCGGTTTTGTTGACCGGTGGGGGAGGGGGTGTTATCTCGAAGGCAAGGTCTCTCTCTCTACACACTTTGGCGCTGGCGCACATGTTCTGTCTCGCATGCACAGCTCTAGATTCCTAGCCTGGTTAAAACCAGACCATTCTCAGTTGTAACTGAGTTATGGTCTGGCAAAGCGCCATAGACAAATCATGTCCAGAGGGGCGTCACCAACAGACTTCGCGGGTAGACCTTAAACCAATCAGAGCGATGAAGGAGATGACGTATGCAGAGCGGCGGCCGAGTGTTTCTTGCTCGGTTTTTAACAAAAAGGAAACGATCAAATGGCTTAAAACAGACGCGATAGCTGATTCGAGCGAGTGATGTTCGACGACGGCATCCATCTTTGTAGGCTACAAAATCAGCTTCAAAATCCAGTGCTGTTGTCATCGTGTAAAGCCCATCCCAACGTTTCTGATTGGTGCCGCAATTTCGAAGGAATTGAAATGGGCTTGAACGATGAGCAAAAATTTCTTTCAGAGCAAATCTAAATTTGCTGGAAGTTGTCTGGTTTTCCCAGAAGATTTGAACTCATTTACGGGCATCATTATGCAGGATTTTTATAAATAATTTATATCTAGATAGATTAGATAATTCATTCTCAATTTATAGTTTATTTGTATGGTTGGATGCGCGTGACCGGTGTCGTGGTCATTCTCAAGTGTCGTGTTGCTGTTGTATCAGTCAGGTCAGCGTAGCTCTCAATAATCGGGACAAGAGAGGTTCCGTACGGGACAAATAAATTAGGCCCAATAATCGGGACGTCCCGGGTACCAACCACTAGGAGCTGAGTGAAGGGTTGAAAGCAATTGTTAAGCAACTGCTCGATAGGGCCTGCAACACAATGGTTGATTCTCAGAGACAGGAAACCTGACGCAAAGGGTGCAGCATGACAAGTCGCCCTTCCTGTGGAATAAAAATGGAACGCAGAAACTGCTCACGTCCTCTAAGGTTTGGGGTTGAAAGAATCACTGCCAAGACTATAACAATGGACTCATTCTCATAACCTATACAGCTGTTTTTAGAGTTTGTTTTAATCTCAAGACTAGGAGTGTCCATGTTTAACCGGTTAACCGATTAACCGTTTAAAATTGCATAACCGAGTGAAACCTTTTTGCTCGGTTAAGTGGCGTCAATACATATTTGCACAAAAATTTTGCGTTTTTTTTTTTTTTTGAATGTCGATAAAAAAAATATTGTGAAACGACAGCGTTTCCATTAACGATGTTATGCGACTAAACATCTTTTTTTTTTCTTCCGCGAAAAGTCATTCCAAAAATAATGGCAACGGACGTTGGTAGAGATTATTATTATTAATGGAAGAGACATGGTGTGTTATCCAAGCATTATATGGCAGGGAAAGACGCAAGAGTTCCTGGTGTTTCTCCCTCATTTCTGCTCCGCGGTCTTGATTGTGGCATTTCCTTGAGGTTTTGTCTAGTAGGCTATTCCTTGTATCTTTTATGAATTTTAAAAAAGAACTCTGCCTCGTATTATGTCCAAGACACTCCGGAGGTTTTCAATGCCATAAGAAACTAAAAATGATTTCAATGATAGTTTAGTACAGTGTTATCCAATGCTTCAGATAAACCCAACATAAACCCAACTATAAATGGCATGCAAAAACTAAATTAACTGATGGCCGCCTTGCATATCAGTCAGACAGTTCTTGGCCAGAATAAGATGACAAATTAAACTTTATCATGATAGTCTGGCTGTGTAAGATTAGTGTCTGTTCATTTTTATGAGTAGATACAGTCATCTTTCCAAGTGTGCTAATGGTCTTCTGTAGGATGTTAGGGAAACTACAATTTGTCTGAAATTCCAAACTTCAGTGTGTTGAATCACCCACAAAAGTCCAGTATATGCAAGCTGAGGAAACACATGGCCACAAACAAACAGATGAACAATGCATTTCCTCTGGTTCTGCTTAACTCTGTTGCTACAGTATAAAAAGGATCAGCTGATTTGCCCATGCCACTACTTTAACGTCATGATAGGGAATTTGAGAGATGAAATGGGTCCTCTGACGCAACTGCTATCTCCCAAAGACAATATGTGGCCTGAGGGGCAAAGGCAGCTGATCCACAGTGCTCAGCCAAAACACTGCTGATAAACACATATGGACACTAGAGATTGGGACTTGCCTGGGAACCTTTCATAGCTAAATTGGAAAAAATATTAATCATGGTCTAAAGGTGTAAATGTTTTTGTCTACACAGACTTGCATTAACGATAAGTGGAGGAAATGTATACAAAATTTCAGAAGCATTTTTTTAAACATGCAATACAAAACTTTTGAATGGTGTTTACGTTGCATTGCGTTCACTTTTATAATGTTAAAGCATAACTTTAGGTACCTTTAGCTGTCTCATCAACAAAAACAAGACTGATTGCTTTACTGAAGGAGCTTCAGAAAAAGTGAGACAGTTGAAAGTGTGTCTGTCGTTAGGAAATGATTATTGATCAGTCTTACAGAAGCCCCCCCGGGGAGAACAACTGAGGGACAGATGGCCATCACCGAAACTCTTCTGAAGGACCTTTCATGATGTTTGACCACAAGACAAGATGTCAGAGTGATGTGTTTAACACACAATGGCCACAAAAAGTATTTGGACAGTTAAGTCACACTTAAAAAAAATGCATGAACGTCATTGCATTGGATCACAAAATATCAAAGAAAAATACATTCATGTTAAAGAAAACACAACTTTCAAGCAAACTATTTCATGAAAACCTTCATACATCCAATATAAGTCTCTAAAACACCATCTGAAGTCTCTAAAACAGACTAAAACAGTTAGTTAGAGCAAAAACATGCAAGTCATCTAATGACCTTTTTAAGTGTACCTTAAAAGTTCCAATATTTTTTTTGTCCACTGTTCATACAAATTCATATCTGCCTTCCAGAGTTAATACTTTAGCCCTGTCTCACTTTAATCTCCTTAAACACATGCATATCCCCTGCTTGAACAGAGTGGGGTAACAAAGGATGGAGAGGGGTGACAGCATGGCATGCAGTCTCCAGAGGGTTTGACACTTACACTCCAACTATAGGCCTTCTTACAAAAGACCCATTGACGTGTTAAAGAGTAAACAGAAGTCCGGCTCATTGTCCTGCCAATGAGGCGCTCCCCACCTGACTGACGGCTCGTGCCAGAAGGAGTCAGTCAATAGAGTTTGTTTCCTACAAATGGTGCATTTGTTTGAGTGTCCCTTTGAATGACACACACACACACACACACACACACACACACACATACACACACACACACCCATGTGCTGAAAGGGCATAATTCTCCTTGGTGTAATCACTTGGGCCATAAATTCAGAAGCCTAATTACTATTGTCGCATAAGTACATGACAACATGCTTTGAGTTCAGTGTGTTTTTACAGTTTTTTCCTTGTTCGAGTCGCCAGTGCAATGAATGCATCTGAATAGTCCACTGATTGTGACCAATAATTGTTTCTGTGTACATCAATATCATTGATTGGCTTCTATTAGCCAGACCAGGGGTCATGGGTGTCATCATGTTATGAAATGTAACACAATTGCATTAGACTGGTCACACATGGGCACACCAAGGGCAGCTGTTCATTTGGAATCACAGAAGCTCCATTAAAAAGTGTTCATTTAAAAAAATACAGACAGTTCAGTGATGGTTTAAAATTGTAATATCAGAATGTTTTAATATATCACAAAAATTAGAAAAAAAAGTGCTTGGAAGTACAATGCACTGTATAAAATTTGTAAATAAAACAAATATTAGTGCTTAGAGTTTATTCAAAAACTTCAATATGCCGTGTTTAATTAAATGTGCTTTTTGCTGTTTCTTTGTAATGATTTGTGAAATTTACAAGCAATTTCTGAGTAAAACTAAATATCAAAAAAAAAATTCAAGTGCACTATTTTGTGAAATTCTGAGGTAAAATATTTTTGCACATGTGCAACAACCATTAAACTGTATAACCATATTAATCTCCACTTTTATGTCTCGAACAAAACCACGAGAAAAGGGGAAAAAATCATTATGCTTTGTAATTGCACAGAGGCCACAATTACACAAAATGGTGCTACCTCGGCTGAGAGAAAGATGAGGATGAAGAGGAGAGCAGACAAACAGACAGGAAATGAAACCGTGAGGACTGGAGGTGTCTGGATTCATGCAGACAACTCAATGTTCAGCAGGGACTTTTCTGCAGCTTGATGTTTTCTTGCCTACGGCTAACAGAATGACGTTAAAATGTCAAGATTAAACAATACAATTCCAGCTGCCTTGCATTTTTGTTTTAGGAAGATTTCTGCCATTTTGTGGGGCAGATTCTCACATTAACAAAGAGTATCATAAGTGAAATAGAATAAAAAATACAATCCCAATCAAAACATTTGTTTGTGTATGGATTCATGACCTATACTGTATGTAACTGACCCACATATTTTGTGATAAAAAACTAGGAACATGAGTAATTGGACAGCGACTATTCTGTTCCCCTCTCTCATGAGTTTCAGTTCTGCTTTCCATGATGTTGATGGAGACTGTGTTTAAATGCAATCACAAATAGTGTTAAAAAAACACTTCACATGTTTTGAAAATTAACATGATGTGATCTTTCCAACTTAATTTTACATAAAGCATGGGTAGATAACTAGGAATGAATAGCAGATTAAGTAGCAACACATGGTCTAATCCATTTGTGCGAGATAACAGCTGCCTTGAATATTTATTCATGTGATTTGGCAGTCAATTCAAGAGCCACTAAAACACATGCAGCTCTCAACAAAATGTAAAGAAATTCTGTTAAAACATTCTTTCTCTCATGTTAACATTCTCATGTTAAAACATTCTTTCTGGAAACCTGGATTTCATTGTCTTGAAAAATCAAATGGCATAAATCATCCATAGTATTCAAAAGAATTGGAAGGGTCTGGAGCCCCCATTTTGGCACTGAGGTCTAAGTCTCATGGCCCTTTATCAGAATCCAGAGTTTGAGAGGATTGGAGAAACTTAATTTTTCGCCCCCCAAAAACAAAAAAAAAAAAAAAAAAACGAAAGGGGTACCACTGTCGTTTTTTTTTTTTGGGTCGAATATTTGAGTTTTGATATCTCAGCTCTGGAAGGGTCTAGAGCCTCCATTTTTGCACTCAGGTTTAAGTCTCACGGCCCTCTATCAGAATCCAGAGTTTTGAGAAGATTGGAGAAACTTAATTTTTCGCCCGAAAAAAAAAACAAAAAACGAAAGGGGTACCACTGTCGTTTTTTTTTTGGGTCAAAATTTTGAGATTCGATATCTCAGCTCTGGAAGGGTCTAGAGCCTCCATTTTTGCACTCAGGTTCAAGTCTCGTGGCCCTCTATCAGAATCCAGAGTTTTGAGAAGATTGGAGAAACTTCATTTTTCTCCCGAAAAAAAAAAAACGAAAGAGGTACCACTGACGTTTTTTTTTCGGGTCGAAATTTTGAGATTCGATATCTCAGCTCTGGAAGGGTCTAGAGCCTCCATTTTTGCACTCAGGTTCAAGTCCCATGGCCCTCTATCAGAATCCAGAGTTTTGAGAAGATTGGAGAAACTTAATTTTTCGCCCGAAAAAAAAAACGAAAGGGGTACCACTGTCGTTTTTTTTTTGGGTCAAAATTTTGAGATTCGATATCTCAGCTCTGGAAGGGTCTAGAGCCTCCATTTTTGCACTCAGGTTCAAGTCTCGTGGCCCTCTATCAGAATCCAGAGTTTTGAGAAGATTGGAGAAACTTCATTTTTCTCCCGAAAAAAAAAAAACGAAAGAGGTACCACTGACGTTTTTTTTTCGGGTCGAAATTTTGAGATTCGATATCTCAG